TCACAATTACAAATACAGCACTTCACAGTAATTCTAAATGCATCTTTAATTATTTTAGAATTAAAAAAACCATTAGACAATTTAAATTATGTTAAATTATATAAAACTCACTATTAAATAAAAATAAATTCTTCATATTGGAGCTTTTTTTATCTAATAATTTCTATATTAAATTACAAAATAAAAAATTATTCAAAAGTAACGCTTCATTTAAATGATAAAATGAAATTATTTCAAAAACCTCGCAAAGGGTCTTTTATAATAAATTTTTAAAAAATTATATAATAAAAAATAATTCTTCTTTGCATAAATTGTTTCATAAAAATTTTAATTTAAAATTAAAAAAAAATTCAAACTCATAACCGACATATATGCCTAGGAACCCTTACGGTCTAGGAAAGCGAGTGCACGGCCATTTCGTACTCGCGACAATAGGCTTAAAAACGTACTAAATGTAAAACCCCAAAAGTCCTACGTTTTCCCTCAAATACCACAGGATACGAGCAGCAAAGCGAAAAGCGAAAAGCGAAAAGCTCCGACTTTCTTCCTCCCTAAAACCCCAAAACCCTCCCAACCTGCGCCGGCGACGCCGACAAAGTAAAAATGAGTAGAGGGTCGTTTATGAATGCTACCGTCAGCCGGCTGCTACAGAGGGAAACGATCACCGGCTTCACGGACCCAATCAACAGAATTCACCCGGTTTTCAGGAACCAAACGCACGCCCAGACCAGAGACTACCTTCGGATGCCTCATTTTCTTAGGAAAGCGAGGGAATATGAAATCCCTCCGTCTCTCTTCTCGTCTACTTTTTCGTCGTCGTCATCTTGTTCTTCTTCGGCACCGGCGTTTGCAAAGGTTGGACTTATCGGTTGGTATTTGGGGATGGTAAAGTCACGTCCCATTTTAACCAAGAGTCTCACTAGCTCGGTTATTTATATTGCTGCTGATTTGTCCGCTCAGGTAAACGTATTAAGCTAATTGCTTGTTGTGTCTTTCTTGTTCTGCTGTTTTTGTTTAGTCAGAGATCAGAATTGCATGCCTTTTTTGTTTGGTTGCTGAGAAAAAAGAGGAAAATATGCCCTTTTTGTTTGGTTGCTGAGAGAAAAGAGGAAAACGGAAGAGAACTATTTGGACCCATTTTGTTGGACTGAATATTAATTCTGAGATGCTATGATAGTAGTATTTCATCTTGCCATAGTAGTGCATATTGCCCCAACAACAAAAATCTAGTTAGATTTTAAAGGGTGTTGTGCAATGTATGTGTGTGCTTGAAAATTCCTACGTACCTTATCAAGTTTCATAATTTATAACTAATGTTTGCCTATGGTTGCTTCTCAAATCTTAATCAGACAATTTTGCGGCCATCTTCAGAATCTTATGATATGGTGAGGACATTGCGTATGGCTGGATATGGATTCCTAATTTTAGGACCATCGTTGCATTTTTGGTTCAACTTCATGTCAAGACTCTTTCCAAAAAAGGATTTAATCACTACGTTTAAGAAAATGGCCATGGGGCAGACAACCTATGGACCTGCAATGACTGTTGCATTCTTGTCTTTGAATGCTCAACTACAAGGTATGCATATTTCCTTAGGGATTGCATAAGATGAATATGATTCTCATTTTTTTTCCCCTTTCATTATGTTTAGGTCTTGTTTTAATCTCTGTTCTACCATGCTTACAAGGAATGGCTTAACATTTACGATTACCAGAAACTATTTAACTGCCTAAGGTGCGAAGCATAGAAGACAGGAACAACGTCCTTATCTAATTTACACAGCATTTTCCCAGAATGATTAGGTTGTCAGAATGGCAAATAGAATTTTTATGAAGCAGGACTCTGGATCCGGTTGGTTGGAGGTGCACCATGCCCTAACTCCAGAAGCTGCGTTCAACTCCATGTCTCCCTGAAATTGGAACTAATTAATAAAAGAATGTTATTGGTTTGTTGAGTTCACATCAAATTTTACTTAACACTTTTTTACTATGGTTTTCCTGGTTTAATTGATTCATTATTTCCCCATTATTTTGTTTTCATATCCTCTCAGCACCAAAGTTACATGTTTACCTGATTAAATGAAAATTTCTTAAACAAATTGATGCGCTAATTTGATCAAATTATTAAGATTTCAACTATTGTTGACCATCGTTTAATACCTAAAAGTAAAGGCCAGGATAATCTACTGCTACTTTAAGACTTGTTTGAGGAGGCATTTTCTTTCTTGGTTCTTTTCTAGTTTTCTTTAGTAGGCTTTACAATAGATAAGTTTCAGACTTTCAGTAACTCTCTAATTTTTTGGTCATATTGTTGGCTGCAAATCAAGAAAGATGTCATTGTGTCTATTATTTGAACTAAGAGCCAAATTACATTCTGCCAAGTAATGGCACCTAAAGTATAGAAGTTATAATAAAATGTGGCTGTGTAGTTTATCTAAGTGGTTGTCATGACTGTGTGCTCAGGTGAAAGTAATGCTGAGATTGTTGCTCGATTGAAGCGAGATTTGCTTCCGACGATGTTAAATGGCGTCATGTACTGGCCCATTTGTGATTTTATTACTTTCAGATTCATCCCAGTCTATTTACAGGTATGTCTATGCTCCCCATACCTTTGTTGTTTTCTTGTTCTCTCCATGTGGCCAAGCTTTAGTTTGTAAATTTGATTCTTGGTGTTTCAATTTGGCAGCCACTTGTTAGCAATTCATTTTCATACTTATGGACTGTCTATATGACATACATGGCAAGTCTAGAGAAAGCAGGCACAGCTGCAAGCTGATTGATCCTCTAACATCAAAGTCTTCCATGTACAAGAATTGATCACAGCCTTGGAGGAAGCCAAAAACAAAACTCAGGGATTTCACTCCACTTTGATTAGGTCAAAAGGGGGGGCAGAGTTCTGATTATGGATTTTATTTTCTTGTGTTCAGTTTTGTAACCTAATGTGCAAGAATCGTGAAATATAAAATATATTAAAACTCTTATTCTTTCTTTTTTCTTTGATATTGAGTTGTACAATGAGGCAAAAACTCTGATTCTATTCATAGACGTGATGATTGATTTCCTTTCATAAACGATGTAATAGGAGAAATAATGCATTCGATGTTATTAACAGGTTGTTCCTATAGAGTGCTGCCCTGAAGGGGTGTCTCGACTTGGAGAAATAAAATGGGGAGTTAGTACTTAGTTCCCATAAAGTCCATACTATCCCCAAAATCCTATACCTTCTCTGGCTTCCCATGCATGGTAGAATTATTACTTCTGATACTCTTGCTCAATGGGACAGTAATCGTCCTAGATGCAAGAATTCCCCTGAAACTCTCAATCATGTCTTTAGGGAATACTTTTATTCATCTCTGCTTCGGGATATTGTTTCCTCACAGTCTATTACCCTTTGAAATTAAAAGCTGGACTTCAACTGCTGGACTAAGGCTAACAGGTGCTACAAGAATTCTACTGATTCCCCTTCTTCTTGGAGTATTATTTTCTCCTATATTGTCTGGTCAATATGGTATTCTGGGAGTCGACTGGTGCATAACAACGAACAGATTCCCATTAATGATCTCAGGTGTACTACCCTGAGAAAAGCTCAATAATTTATCAGGCTGACTCCCAGCGTGTGCGTGGTGAGTGAAACCCAAAACTTTCATTTCCGTGGGTGGGTAATTGCAAATTTGCAGTCAACAAGGGGTTTTACCAGGATTCTTGTTGAAACTGATTCAAAAGTTGCTAGTCTTCTAATTGGATGCTAATGCTGCTTTGCCCTTATTTCTGACAGTAGATTGCTGACAAGGCACTTCACTCATATTAGGATATCCCACATCTACAGGAAGCTATTGCGGCTGCTGATTTTCTTGCAAAAGTAAGATCCAATGCTGTTGTGGATTTTATTTTGCACCCCTTTTTTTTTTTTCCATAAGAAATGATTAGGTAAATGTTAGTATTTATTATACTGTGAGAGAATCGAACCTCAGAAATAAGTGCAATTCACCTGTTGCCCTTTAGCGTGGTCACCATTGGCCCATATAGGGGTTTGCAATTATGTACTCCTTTTGTTTCAAAATAAAGGTTATGTTTTTTTTACTTTTTCAATGAATTAAAGATTTAGGCATCTGGCCCTCGGGTCAATTGGTACTCCGCCAGCTTGAGGTGCATTCTTCATTTTC